TTTTTTTTTTTGTTTTTTTTTTTTTTTACGAAAAGCACCTTCTTGTTGTTCCAGACAGTTTTACACATCAACATTAAATCTGTGTCTTCCTCCCCGTTCTCCCAGGAACCATGTGTAACATCAACAGCAACGAGTGCACCATTAACCCCTGCCACAACGGCGGCACCTGCATTGACGGCATCGACAGTTTCATCTGTGTGTGTCCCGAAGGTTATCACGACACCACGTGCTTTTCCCAAGTCAACGAATGTCTCAGCAACCCCTGCATCCACGGCCGCTGTGAAGACAAGGTCAACGGGTGAGGACCCTCGAGAAACCGATGACGAAATCAAAACAATCAAACGACCTGGCTGTTGATTTCATCTCACCAAGATGCAGACACAAATTTTCAAAAATCCAAACTTTTAATCATGTTTTTATTTCTGTTTACAGCTACAAATGTCTGTGCAAACCAGGCTGGAGCGGCAAGAACTGCAACGTCAACAACAACGAGTGCGAGTCCAACCCGTGCATGAAAGGAGGCATCTGTAAGGACATGACCGACGGATTTCTTTGCACCTGTCACTCAGGCTTCACCGGTCAGTACGTGTGTGTGCGCGTGTGTGTGTGTGTGTGAGTGTCTGAACCTAAACCCCACTTGACCTTCTACTTAAACTACCCCCCCTGACACTCCCCCCCCCCCCCCCCCCCCCACTTTAACCACAGGACCGTACTGCCAGACCAACATTAACGAGTGCGGCTCCAACCCCTGCCTCAACCAGGGGACGTGCATGGACGACGTCGCCAGCTACAAGTGCAACTGTGTCCTGCCTTACACGGGTGAGAAAATATAATTGGAAACGGTCGATATGCATGTGTTCTCGCCTGGTATTCGTCGACTTCCGTTTCCACAGCCCCCGGGGGCAGAGACGTGTGTGTGATGAAGTAACGCTGGAGTAAAGTTCAGCAGCAAGACCTCAGGGTTTAAAGACACCAGAGTAGAGATCAGGGAAATATTTCCATCATAATGGAAAGGTTGTGGGTACATTTTCACTTATTTTCCAAGTCGTCCTTTTTGGAAAAAATCCACTAGACTTGGAATAATAACAGGCCTCTGCTTGTGCCTGGGTGGGAATGGGCCGCTTGACACATTTCCTGTTTGCCTTGCTTCCTGTCTCACAGTAAAGCAAAGACTTCACAATGGCCGGAAACCGGAGCTGGCTTCCTGTATTAGGTTTGCATTGTGGAAACAGATAGGGAAACATCCACACAGGCCCGGTAACACTAACAGAACCTGGTTCAAATCTTCAGATAGCACTGACTGGTGGATGATTCTTTGTCCGTTTGGATTGGTGTTATCTCCTGGTCTATGACTCACACATGAAGTATCACATTGTGCTGTAACGTGAGGTGATTGTTTGTCTTGCACAGGAGAGAACTGTGAAACCCTGATGGCACCGTGTAGCTCCAGACCCTGTAAACATGGAGGAGTGTGTCAGGAGTCAGAAGATTATCAGAGTTTCTCCTGTGTTTGTCCCAAAGAATGGCAAGGTGAATATTAATGTTGGCTCAAGTAGGGAATGTCACAACTAAAAAAAAGTCTGAATCCTCTTCTGTATACACATGGGCAGGATGACAAACATGGAATATCCAATAATTCCACTGTCCTCACACTAATAGTTGCTCTAATACATGAATAAAAACAGGCATGAAACACAGGCATCTACCTGCTGTTATTTGTTTTTTATATTGTTGCATTGTATTTGCGTTGTTATTTTGTTTTTTTATATAATTAGGCATGATGATTTATCTTAATTAATCATGTGAATAGGGATGAATCACAATCACAATTAATCGCAATTACTGCACAATTGCCCTTTGATTTATCAGATTTGAAAATAGTTAAAAAATATATACAAATATATTTGTAAATACAGACAGTATGTATATGTGTAAATCAGAGATGTTCACAAGTAACTTTTTCCAAGTCCAAGTCAAGTCTCGAGTCTTTATGCACGAGTCCAAGTCAAGTCTCGAGTCTTTGTGGGGCAATGCCAAGTCAAGTCCCAAGTGTTTCGTCCCAAGTCCAAGTCAAGTCTCAAGTCTCAAATAGCTGAAATGAAAGTTTTCGTATTAGTTTGGAGTCTTGGGCAACTTCTGTCTAGCTCCATGAAGTGGGCTGTTACCCCTAGAAACCCACACATGGTCCTATCTGTCCAAATGTCCACAGTCACAGATACTGTGTCTGTCTTGTCTAGTTTGGTTTTGATCCAGGCCCGTTTCTCTGATGCTATATCAATCACTCGTCTTGTAATTGTGCTTCGACTGACTGGGTTATACCTCTCCTCTGCCACTGACAAAAAATTTCTGAATCTGGGATGCTCAGTTAAAGACAGGGGCAAATTGCATCCAATGACGAGGTCATTGACCATTGATTCAGTGATGATTCTTTGTCTAGGATGACCCTGATGGTATGCTTGCACACTTTTCCCCTGAACTAAGAAAGACTCAATGCTGCTCTGTCCCTCTTCATTGGTCCCTTTCTTTACCTTGCTGAATTCTGCAAACCTGTAGATAAACATGTGAATTAATTTACTTGTTTACAATAATGTAAATATGGATGACAAAGTTAACAATATTGTCATATAAAATTAGGCTACTACACAGGGGGTGCAGTTTAATTAAAATAAATTACTTTTTACTAACGACATACACTCTGCAGCCGCTAGGGGGCAGCATAAGACTTCCCTAATCTGACCATATTACATGCAAGCAGTAAAATCCAGTAACGTTAGATTACGTTTGTTACTGTCTTAAGGCAAATAATGTTGATGCTACTGCAGTAGGCCAATCTCGGTTTAGAGTGGCGTACTGTAGTGGAATAAACTCAGCCTACAGCAGCCTATCGTTGTGATAGACGTGCTGATTCTGAAAGAAATTATTCTTAAGTTAAAATACTAGCATCTGAACAGCGTTTTAGGCTAAGAAATCATATGCATTACGTGCTGTTTAAGGAGAGGTTTCCGTTTCTGTTATGTCAGTGACAACATTAGTCTAAACTAAAACAGCCATTCATGCATA